TAAATAGTGACAAAAAATTCAATCTTTAAATACACCTAAACTATAACATTTTGCATTGAGATACTCGATAAGTATTGTGAATGAATATATGTACTATGTTTTTTGCATTATGTGTGTAATAAATTGTAGAAGTTTATGTTGAAGGGTGGATGGAAGACAATTTTAGCCACTCACTTTGGAGTTTATACACAGTTATCTAGAGAATACCCATGATGCTTTGGTTAATTTTATATTTTTTCTATTATGAACACTATAATGCAATTTTTTTATGTAGGAGATCTGTGAATGTATTCTTCCACTCCTGCATGTGAAAAGAACAGCGTTGGGTGGTTCATTAACTTATTTGGGAGGTGTACAAAATGTAGCAGACTTTGCAGTGAATGACTTAATTGTTTGTTCACAGTATTATAATGCTAGACATTTACTACGTTCACGTTACGGGATCTCGGCACGTGCCGAAATTTTTAATCGGTTGTGTTTGCAGAGGGATTACAGCAGTTGTGTTCACTTTATTCAGGACCCACTTAGGACCGACTGGGCTCGTGCCGAAATCACACTCTCATTCATCGATCTGTTGGCCCAAACATGGAAAACGATATGCATATGATGATAATAATTGTAATAGTGAAATTATATCCATTTGTTGCAATGGTGTTTATTACGAGCCATCGTGCACATGAACGGCAAAGAAGATTCGAAACAATTATTTTTTTCACGTCAATGTAAAATGTGCAAGAAAATAGAGGTTGTAGCAGCACATAAATATGCGTCGCTGATGACGGTTTGCATTCATTATTACAGCATCCGACCATCTACTAGTATATCCGAATTTCCTGTCATCGTCATTTCATGCTAGTATCAATCAACTTATGTTTTCTTAAATTTACCAGGCAGCGTTCAGGCAGCAAATCTCGGCACGTGCCGAGTTTCGGTCCCAAGCATCCATCGGGACCGAGATCGAGTTCTTTTCGGCATGTGCCGACTCGGTCCCGACCGTTCACACAAAATTTTCGGCACGTGCCGACTCGGCCCCGAGTCTCAGCACGTGCCGAGATCTCTAACGTGAACGCCACTATTGTCTTTAACAGCTTGACCCAATGGTGTTAGGACTCTTTTCCAACTCTTGCTTATAACACTTAGTTCAGCAAATGATGGTCAACTTCTTGTTTTCAAAATCTTTCTACATTCAAAAGTATGATACTTGTATTGTATCTGTCCATATTTATACGATTGCTATCTGATTCTTTGAACTTGAACTTAACACAGGCTACCTACAAGGCTTAGCGCTTTCATAACACCTTTTTTAGCTTTTGTTTAGCTCCATGATTATATTCTACACCTCTTTTCCTTAAGAGCCATTTTCTAAAACACTGTTTAGAATTTTAAAGATTTTTGCTGGGGATATATAATGGAGCCTAAACAATGAAGTAGTTTCTTAAAGTTTTACTGTAGTAAAATAACTCTATCAAATCTTTTTTTTATTTGTTCATGAGCATTTAGGTCACTTTATGAGAAAATGCACCACCAATATGAACATGAGCCAATCACAGAAGGTATTATGTACACAGATTGGATGTACAAACATGTATTGGTATGTACCTTCATGGGGGTGAAACATCAATCGATATTGCGATACCTAGATTTAACTTGAGATTGTGAGTTGTGTCTCTTTGTGTATAGATGTACAGTTCTATTAAAAAGCGGAAAAGTTTCGGGAATTAATTGAAAAAAAAATAGAATAAAGTTTTTTTCTTTACAACTTCTAATTAACGACTTACCTTACAAGTAATAGCTTCTGTAACTGGCTTACACAGCTGAGGCACTCTTGATGACCTGTACGGCTAGGGTTATCAGTCTGACAACGACACAGGGTGATGTGGTCTCACTGGAAGGCTTGCATACATGTGATCGCTTCAGCGTCTCAGAGATGACAAGACAGTGGTTATTTGCGGCCCAGGTTATATAACTACACAAGTTATTGTATAGATGACCTACGACATTTACAAAAAAGAAGAAAAGGGCTCATTTGCATATTAAAAAAATTAAAAATAGATAAACAATCAACGGATTTAAAATTGAAACAATGCAAGTAACATGGCTTCATGTGAAAATTAGGTAACCAATGGAACTCTCATGCCATGAGCGAAGATTTACATCTTTTTTTTGGACTTTGTGTTGTCGAATATTACTGTGTAGTGTAGTGTGTACAGCACTCAAGTCTGCTTCGCAACATTCTCTTCAGAGAAGACACGTGACAAAATCGAATGAATGAGTAAGAAGGAGGGCATCGAACATATGTGATTACATGGGACTCGTTTTTATGTGTGTGTTTTTTTGTGATGTAAATTTGACCTTTTGGTGAACTGGGACTGTGTAAACTGTAACAAAAGAGCGACGAATTGCACTTGTAGATCAATTAGCTGGCTGCCACTAGTACTCAGCTGATTCACGATATTTTTGACTGCTATTTGGTTGGTTGCTGAATGTAAAATTGTCGACCTTAGTTTGCAAAGGTGAATTACTATTACACAAACTAACAAACTATAGAAAAAAAGTACACACCGCCACACGTACAAGCTTGTCTTAGATTCGTGTTTCAGCGACGACCAGTCCCTCTCTGCGTACGTAACGTTGTGAGGTCTTGAAAGAGCTCAGTTTGGACTGCTTGGTCCACCCACTGTTTTCACAACAGTAGGTTAACTGGCCAGGTTATCGTATTTGCAAATAATCCAACATGTTCACGTGAGACAAAGAGAATACGTCACACAATACATGACTAGGCCGTGGTACGGCATGAATAAACTCAAAATAGGATCGTATTTTTCAGCATAGGTTCTTGTGAAGAAATTCTATCAGACTTCGATCTCGGGAAAATGCAATGAAAACGTTATCTTCCACCGCGGACAGACGGTAATCCAGCGATTTTTGCGAAATAGCAATGGACGAGTTTGATAGCGCCCTCAACGTGAAATATGCATGTTGGACATCGTTGTACAAACAACCGCTATCGATATCAGAATATTGAATAAATATCAAACTCAATCATCATCCTACCACAGTTCCAGTACCTCTATCATCAGACAAGTAATATATATTTTACTCGTCTGAGCTCAATCACTATAGAGAGACTGTATGAATCTCTGTACTGGATTACTAAACCACCTTTTCCATATTTGACGGACATTATTCTTAAATACCATTTCTATAACTAGGTCCACACAGCCTTGCTGAATTGAGCATACCACTTGCCATCACTTGATATGAGAAATTAAGTTGATTCCATTTATCTGGAGTTTAGCCCCGCACGTTTTAACAAAACTGCAATTTTATGACATTTCAGGTTTTATTATATATGGTTTTAATCATTTTAACAAAGAGTAGTTATTTATGGGAATGCATCAAAGTGGCACGACGTGACTTTCGGTGTACCGCGGAGTTCAGTCCTTGCTCCACTTCTCTTTGTCATGTATATGTATATATATATATGCATGACATATAAAACAAAAGTGCTCAATACAAAGTATATGTAGAGCGGATAGATACGGTAATAGAGGAATATTGTAACTCGACAGCACTGTACTGACCTCACTTATCAAGAGATTTATGTTTATGCTCCTGATGAGCGAGGTACTTGTACCTTACGAAACCGTGCTTTCGAGTTTTAATATTCAGGTACATTTGTAGTTGTCTTAATTCCTCTATTACTGTATCTCTCCCTCCTCTCTCTATTATTGTACCCGAACACAATTTTGAGATATGAAATACGAACCAATGGTAAATGATTCAAAAAATGCAATTTTCGTGGGATTTGACACATTTTTTAATGCGAAATATATTTGGCTGACCATATTTTTTTCTCTGGATTTTGTGAACAGGAGCATCAAATAAAGCTATATGGTAAAAGTCAAAACAAAAATCCGGTAATACGTTTTAATGGTAACCAACTAGCTAAAGTGATAAAAATTAACAATTAAACAATTGTCGAATATTTTTCGTTCTCAAAAAAAAAAAAATGAACTCAAGTTGCTTATTGGCGCCGATATAAATAGCCAAACATGTCTACACGAGACAAACGGCAAACGGAGTTGATCGGAGTCAAGAACACAATGGCTGCCCAGGTCGTGGTACGATACGAATCAACTTTCAAAAGAGGTTTGTATTTTAGTATAAGTTCTTCTGAACCCCTGTTTCACTGAACTGGGGGGGGGGGTGCAACAAATAAATCATTATCGTTTACTCCCGGTTTTTAAACCATAGATTACTGCGATGGATGGGGTAACCCGAAAGCGAAGTAACGGCAGTAGATATTTATTTATTCTGGGTATATACCGTTACTAGACAGTGCTTTTTCAAAGCCAAATTTTGTTGATCGAGTATATGGTTGGGCTTACGAAAGCCGAGTTCGGCCCAACGGAACAGCTCCACCAATCACTTGAGAACCAATATATTCCCAAAATGTGAGAATCTGTTTTGAATCTATACGGCAACACCTCCTAGATATTGACGGTCACCGGATGGTCGTCCTAATTCTGAGATTTTCTGTCAGGACATTTCTTGAGACACCGTTGATGCGTCCGGGAAGACAAGTAAGAATGTAGCAGACGATTTGTGCCAATTGCCGCCGACGAGTAACACTTATTTCGCGATCGAAGGGATGCAATTCGTTCGTCTACAATTTCCGATGTCGTTTGTAATAGACATAGACATTACAAACGATATCGACTCCTGAGATAATTCAATTGGAACGTAACTTGAAGAAGGCGATAGAGGGCGTAACTTCGACCCGATCCGTTTTACCTGGCCAGCGCCATGGTGTATCCCAGTCATATCAAAGCTCAACCCAAAGATTTATCGGAGCCGAGAGCGTCCAAACACAGAGAATTTTTCTGGTTCGAGCCGCTGGCTCCGATAAACTACTTTCATGTAAACGAGGTAATGGGTTTATTTATGGAAGTAAAGCATGTCTAGTACCTAGTATTATAAGTTTATTGAAACACGCACAAATCTTAGAAACATGACAAAGACAATTTATACTGGTACCCTAAATTCGACTGGATGAGTAAAAAAAGGGGCCGACTATTTACTGATTTGTCACCTCAGATTTTTCAAACATAAATAACCCGTTTCGAATAAACAAAGGGCAAAACATCTCAAAAACACAACAAAACTATAAATATCCTAGCAATACATTGACAAAAAGGTAAAAGATGTATTGTACTTCACCTTTTAGGAGTTGAATGTGAGACAATATTAATTGTTTTTGGAAAAACACATACCAAAAATGATTGACAGCAGAGACCTCAACAATTCCCAACATGCCAATAATCAAATCCAACGGGTCTTGGAGGCTTACTTTCAATAGATCGCAGCGAAGCGGCTGCTTTGCTAAGTAAATCTGGGGTAGTTTGTTGTACTACTGGGCGCTCATGAATATAATCCCCACATCTATATGCCCTCGTTATGAAAATCTTACCTCTATTTTATCAGTAAAAATCAGACACATGAACAATTTCTTCGTTTAATGATCCCACATTATGCTTGAAATCGAACGTAAAAAATTGAGGGGTGGCTCGATAAGGCGATGAACGTTTCTAAGTCATGTCGTCCACAGACCATCGTCAAAGCAACAACGTCCCTTTTACGAATAGATAAAACCATTTCATCATTGCTTTTTTTCACAGAATAAAACGAAACTTAGAAACATTGCACAGAAAATATAATTATGAGTGTTAATTGTAATTGTTCATTTAGATTAGCAAAATCTGTAATGTATTTTGTTGTTTCCGGGTCGTTGAGGTAGAATCCTATACTCATGATTTTAAATGCCCAGAATTTATTCATTTTTAATAAATTGTACTTCTCGGCAATATAAGAATATTGACTTAAAAAAGGTGGGGGTCGCCAGGGTTATTTTCGAGAAAATCATGGTGTATTTTAATGGATGGTGGCCATTTTTATCACTATTATAGTGCTTTTACCGTAGGTTCATATGGCAGAGATATTATATCAGATCTCAAATTATAGGCTGAAAAAAATAATATATTGTTAATGATGGGGTATTTTTGTTTTCCTGATTTCTTTTTCTTCAAAAATCTGGGTTTTAAAAAGTGTCGAAAAATGCAATTTTTGTTTAACATTGCGCTCTATGGAATTGTTCTAAAAAAAATATATTTTGAAAAATATTAGGACAAGTTTCTCAAAATACGTCACTGTAACACACAAAAGAAGGTTATTGTATTGTGCCATGAAACAATAGCTCCATAATTTTGCACAATAAACCAATGAACATTGTCATGCGATTTATAACCAACTTTCTCAAAAGTGTTGAGTAGGCTTCTACCTTAAATAAATCTCGTCTTATAAAGTAGTCTTGTGTTTTCATAAAGAGTACATGATATAACCCGTGTTCATACACCCGAAATAAGATTATATTTCAGGACTTTATAATTTTTGCAGGACTATTTCATTTTAATGACTGTCCAGTAAACTCTAGATCTGTGCGAACCCTATATAATAACATGTTGTTCGTTTTCTATTTTTTTCTGAACATATTTACTTTTTATTTTTCGGTGCCCCCCGTTATATTTTTCAAGTTATGATTACTCGGTCGAAACTTGATAATCGAAGATCTCCATTTTTTTAATTTATTTTCTCTATTTTCTCTCTGTATACATTGCAGGATCAGGATGAATGTTTCCACTTTCTTCTCAAGTAATAATCACGTGACTGTTATTAACGAATTATGCCAATTTCCCTGACAGATTTCAGTTCAACTATTTGTTCTCTAACCGACGTGGAACATTCATTTGAATTTAACCAGTTGTCCTTCGTTGCATGACGGTGCGAAATGACAATGGAGATGCAGTATATATAACCACGCTCTTGCTTATACATATCAATACAACACACGTCTCCGTTGCATGTACGACATCTTTCATACCTTCGCACCATAAGTGAAAACGGATGACTATGTGTATATAATAAACACAGGTGTCTCTAAATCGTGCTTCGTTTTGCCACAGAGAGTTAGAATATATTCAATTTGTATCAGAGATTTATCAAAGATGAAATAATATTCGTGACTGACCCCCGCGCGAGCCCCTGCCATATAGTATATTCTTGTAGCCATGAAGAAACGGAAGATGAGGGTTGGCTAACAAGCACTGACAGTTGTTCTGTTTTTTTTTTTTTAATTTTCTAATAAAACTACCCATACAGAAAGTCGTCTATTGATGCCGTCGGTGGGGGCGCAGCTTTATTGGTCTGATTGAAATTGTCGATGGGGGCGCCGCTCTATATTGGCCATAACGTTACCTTTCAAGGCTCATACCACTAATTGAATTTCCATAGACGACAATGTTAACATATGACGAGATTGATATATGAAAATGACGAAGAAAGTTGAAAATATGGCTCAAAAATGGGAAATCAACATGCCAGTAATCAACCATATGAAAAAAATTAACAAGTTGGCCAGCTCAAACTCTTGCAAATCTCAGGTAAACAAGACACACCTACTGTATTTGGATTGCACCAAGAGAAATCACTGGAAAAACACCAAGATTAGAACATCCATTAACACACAGAATAAACCCACAGGTACACAGCCGCTAAGTAGTAAACAAAAGACCACATGTTGGTCTCACCTCTGACCCAGGTGATTACGCCCTCAAACAGGGAGCACCTGAGACAAATAATATTTAAAAAATTTCATTGGTTCTTGCTGGGCATTTAAATTAATTAGTGGCATGAGACCTGCAACGACGTCCTAATTTGACTCGTGGTGTTTGGTGTAGCCCAAACCTTGGACTATATACATATGGCGTTCGAAATTATATAAGCAGCTATCACAGTATATGTCCGACCAGAACATATCACAGCTTACCTTATATGAAAAATTGATGATATATCTGCCCCGGTGGGTTATTTAGAGGATTCTTTAAATATTTGGGTCCCATGTTCAAACATTAGTTTTCATCAAATATTTGAATCCGACAATTTTGCAACAGCCAGAGGAAAAGCAATTATTATCGCAGAAAACAAAATGGAAAGTTTGGATACCCGGTAAATTATAGAACAATTTAGCTGCTTGGTAAAATATTTACATTAATTTTAAATAATCAACCGAGTTAGGAGAGAAAAGCACCTGAAAAAATTACTTTTTCATGTCAATAATAAAAAAATACATTACATGAAACGGAGCAAATTCTGCTATGCTCTTGTCGATTTCTCCAAGGCGTTTGATACAATGAGATGGCGACGGTATATTAAAGGAGTGTAAACGCGAACATTTTGGCCGAGCATGTGTTAAATCTTGTATCCTTACTGCTGTAGAATACACTACATGATTGTCTCTTTGTAATTCGCCAAGGCTGTACTATTATGTAAAGCCCTGTTTTATTTTCATTTCTCATAAATGAATTGTCAAGCGAACTACAGCAACGTGACGACCGTGTTAGCCAGCTTTTCCTATACCTCATTGAACTTTTCTGTCTATGTTGTGCTGATAATGTAGCTTTGTTTTCTGATACTATAATTGGGTTACAAATTAAATGTCTTTTCCCAAACTAAGTATTGTATTATTTGGAAAAAGTCTTGGTCAGTAAAATGGCTACTCAATAAGGAAGATGGCTGTATGAAGATAAACTCATTCAACGCCACAAGTTTTTTTGTTTTTTAGCCAATCAGAATTCATCTTCCGAGCCAGTGCAGATCAGCCGGGGCCTCGTAGAAGTAATAAAATTATTACACATTACAAATTCATGTATATTGCAGTAGTCTTTTCTTGTAGACGTCTGTATCCATCGGCAAACAAAAATCGTTAAAGGGGCACCTTCCAGTTAGGCTTAATTTCACAACAAATTTACTTTCTGGATTAAAATAACAATGGATAACAAAAGATAGATTAACATTGTAAACAACATAAACAATAGTGTCCCATGATTCTTTGGTGCAATCCATGGGATTGAGCGGTTCCCCTTTAAATGCTTTGTTTGCGATCATGAAAACTATGAATGAAATAGGTCATTTGAACAATGATGTATTCTTTAGAATTTTTGACTCAAAGATTTAGCCAATTATCGGATTATGGCAAGCTACGTAGATTGTCTGTCCCAGACAACGTGGAAATAACCACTTTCACAGTCCGTGCACCGACCACAACAACTTGAACTTTGTCATAATTACAACGTCCCTTCGATGAGGGTCGGCAAGGGGTATTTTCCTAAGCTGTAATCAATTGTTTTTATTTTCGTAATAATGTAATTTAAATAAATAAAAAAACGTAAATTCGTAGACATGAGCAAGGTGTAAAATGTAATCAGCTATTTTATTCATCCGCAATTATTACCCACGAACGGATCGTTGGGTTGTGAAAGTTTGTTATTTTTTCCTAATTTGTAGGAATCTGAAAAACGCGTTTTTCAACTTGTCTCTTTATTTGGTTTCAAGCCGTATTCAAGATGGCTACCCCATATAGTAAATATTGGTATTCATATTCCATGACCCGTCGACAGAAACCGCTATATCCACTGGATTTTCATCGGTGTTGCCACTATCGTCTGCCAATTCTGTTTTGAGTTTTCTTATTTCATCGGCGGCATCTTGAAATTCTTGCTCTAATAGTCTTTTAGCAACGTCTAAAACTTTCCGAGTGTTTTCTCTGAATGTGGTTCCAGATAGAGGAGGCGGTAATCCCATATAGCTACTAAATTTACGCATTGCGCGACGACCCTTTCCAAAGCCACGAGCCGCGATCACCAACTTATGATTCACATCAAAAGAATGTTCACTCTTTTTTGAAACAGGAAAAATGTCAGTCACGGAGTTACATTTTTTATTCGTGCACTTATAGTAAAGATGCCCCCCCCCCCACAGCCATGTCGGATGTTCGTGTTTTCTGCCAAAACGACATTCCCTTTTTTACAACAACGACACATCAATATGTCACTGCCATTTTTGTTTACAGACTTTAACTCTACCATGATGAGTGAACCAGCATCTGTACCCAGATTTCCAACTCGTTGTCGTCGCCGTCGTCATCTTAACTGTAGGTGTCACAATCAAATTTTTTTGCGCAGAACTTTTGTTGTTACTGTCGATAGACTTGTCTTCAAACCACTCTTCGGGCTGACTATAATATGAGCCCAGGTCGCTTTCATTTAGATATCTTTTAACGGCGTCGGACATTTTTTCGGCCGCCAGTTTTGTTCATCTCAGAACTCCTTCACATGATATATTAGGTTATTCATGAAACTATGAATAGTTCCATGGGCTATTAAAACACTGTGAAAAGCTTGAAAGACTATAGTGTAATGTTTGTTTGTGCTTCGATCGCGATCGCGTAACGGATACTACTACAAGATATAATAAAGCCGGATGGTCAACAAATCAGTATGCAAATTAAATCCTCTGTCTTCAGTCCGACACTCAACATATGTAAATGCATGAAGGACGTGTTCACCTACAACTACGCTTCCGGGTATGAATCCAAATTACTCAACAAATTCATCGCGCACTGTAAATTCGGACCAAAGATAAAGAAAGTACACAATATAAGGTTGCATAATGCGTGATTTTCAGAAAAATGTTTTTTTCTTTTCTAGTTTTTCCCCACTGTTATCATCACGTGTACGATAGCTAACTTCGGTGATACCCAGCTGTATACAACGCCACAAACACGCTTTTTTTTACAGTAAGACAAGTACAATTAAAAAACGGAATAACCATAATAACACGCTTTATTCTCCCTAAGATTCACAAAATTACAACGCAATATTAGCATGCACGTCGTCATGACAAATAGACAAGTCTAACAGGTCTGCGTCAGTTGCTGCAATATCGCCAAAACATACCGTACGAGGGCGCAGTATACTCACGTCGATGATGTTCAAACTCGCTATTATTGTAATATATTTTCCTTTGAGCTTGGCAAGATAAACTCACTACTGAAGCTTACAATCAGAACTACTTACAATGTCTAACTTAAATGCCTTAAAAACTAAAATCTTAAATGTCTGTTATATATAGCACCATTATCGTCGAAACTTTAAAAAATGTCATAAAAAGATAACATAATAATTCATGAAAGACTTAAAATGAAGAATTTTCTCGAATACATAAATTACAACAAAGAATTGATTATGTCATTGCACATAATTAGCATAATTCCATTGTTACAGCCCATCGGAGAATATTTCAGAAATGTAATAATATGTTATATTAAATCCGGTTTACACTGGTAAATAACTGGTTTAGACTGGTACAAAGTCGTTTAGTCTACAAGTAAATGTTCAAAATTATCCTGATATATATATATAAAGTATTATACATAGAAATTAAAACTTGATTACCAATTTAATATAATATGATATGAATATATTAAACTACGTTTGATGCGTTACGAATTGCATTATTGAAGCATAACGTGCAGTTATTTCATTGTAAGTTGCAACTCAGATTACTTCGATTAGCGATAAAGCAAACGTACAATTTCTCGTGTTTTAAAGCCAATTACATAAATTTAGAAGCGAAAAAAGAAGATTAACGTTTAAATATTTGCCTTATATAAGAACTATTTGTCAAATAATATCATGTGACAAAATTGCCTGATATTATTACCATAAGATGTATAATACAATTCAAATGCGCATGCCCCGCGGCCATTGACGCTACGACCACGATGAATTAATTATTGATGCATTTTTCGCAGTAAGGCTTGTCGTCTTTCTTGTAGAATGAGCCAGCTTGCAGAGGAAGTTTACACCCCTAAAAAATATAAATTAAATTAAAAAAATGAGTATACATTGTAAAAAAAAGGTTGAAAAACTGTTGTTTGTCTGTTCCCTTTCTTATCATGACTACCCAGAATTATAAATACATGATTTTCGATGGGAGGTGAGCGATGCGGATGGACGCTACGTGGCCGGAATTCAGGCTCCAATTAGTAACTATAATTCTCGGTTCAGGCTCTGGGTATTCTGCCCTCAGCGGTCGACAATCGACATTGATTTTGCACTCACCTTGCAAGCGAAGCATCCAGGGTGCCATGTATGCCCCATGGCTTCCACCCATTGAGTCTCAATCTTGTCCTTGCAACCCTTGCACTTTTCAGGCTTCTTTTTACCGCCTAGAAACTTCTTCTCATAATCTGCAAAAATGATAAATTGTTCGTTTTTGTGTGAAAGTGCAAGTTGAATCGTTTACATTGCCGTCTTCGTGTTAAAGTGATGATGACGATGACAATAAATCTTGACATCACAAGTTATGGTGTTGATATGTGATCCAGCAAATATTGTACATTTCCTCGGAATGAAAACGGACTGGAGTAGGCGTATGGATAGACTGACATAACTACGCTCGTCGTTCTCATTTGCGTGCTTCGCGATATACCCCGGATGTAGCACTATTTTTACAATGTGCCTCACCTTTCTTGCAGTAGGGTTTGCCTTCGTTCACACTGAAGCTGCCATCTTTGAAGGACTTCTTGCATTCAGTGCAGACAAAGCACTTTGGGTGCCATTTCCCTCCTAAAGCGGACACGATCTCCTAAATAAGGCGAATAACACAGACAAATTCAAAAAATATTAAAAATCAGGGTCAAATACTTAAGAGTGCACGAACGGCAGAACTGACGAGGCAATGAAATATTACTTACACCAACTACTGGTTGCTTGCAGGCTTCACATCTGGCGGCCTCAAGTTTCTTATAGTCTTTATCGCACAACGGTTGTCCGTCTTTGCCTTGAAAGAAGGTCTTGCCTCTCAATTCCTCTTTGCATTCACTGCACGTGAAGCATTCTGGGTGCCACTTCTGATCCAATGCGGTAATCGTAGTAGAACTGAAAAGGTTCAAATGAAAATAATAAATCATAGAAACGTTTTTCTATGCAACAGAGGTCATTGGGTTCGAGTCGCTCGGAAGGTGAAGTGCGTAAATTACTTTGTTTTTATATTTACTCACGTGATGTCCTTCTTGCACTTCGCACAGACTGCCATTTTGTCTGAGGAGGAAAAAAGAGAAAACAATTGCTGTACGTGAAATGTGACGATGAGACATTTTACTGTTCTGATCAACCTACCAATGAATCGATTAATTGAATGACGTACTCCTGGAGTGGTATTTCCTAATTAGAAGTATGATTTATTATTATTTGTTTCGACTTAAACGTGAAAATATACCCACATTTCCCCCCATTTGTTGGCACTGCGTCAATTGGTTGTCGATGTCTCCGCTCACCAATTTAACATTTTAATTTGATAACGGCCACACTATTGTCACCCACTGATTACAATTGGAGTGACAGACAACTCACATTAGCTTCTACTCGTACAGTAATTTGTTTGGCAACGTTTTCCCTTTTCAGCGTATCATGGACAACCCGTGACACGCACTTCAACAATTACGTTGAACTTAAACATGAACTGTCATTACACTGTGCACGAATGGTTGCCAGGCAACTCGCGTTATTGGGCGGAGATCGCGATATTATACCGTATTGACGAGATATACCAGCAACTGTTACAGACCTGGGTCACATCGTATCATTATATTATTTTCTATATCCATTAACTAGCTAATTTGCATATGGTCGGTGTAAAGTACGGAGGTGTTACACAATGGAAAACAAAAATATCTGTATTTTTATCATAACGCATATAAACAATGTAAAACGACAATTCCGAAATAGTTGAAAGAACACAATTGTATTATTTCGTTATATTTACAATGTTAGTAGCATAGTAGCGGATTTTTTGCTGTTTTGAGGTAGTACGTCGGTCCTTGCCATGAAAGCTATGGTTCCAGTTTTAATGCCTAGCGTAGTAACACCGGGGTCGGAGTTGTTTCAAGGTCTGTCATTGGGTGTTGTCAGGAATGTGTGACATGTAGTTACAAGTGGCACTCTAAATCACGACTCAGGCCTCTTATATTTCAACACACCTACACATTGTTGACCCCCTCTTTACAGATTCGCGTCAATTATATCCCACGCACCGATTTGATGTTAATTTTACAATAGAATTGATTACATAAATCAGAGCTTATTATCAGTTGTAAATTTTTATGCCAGAAAAGAATTTCGCCATTTTCGAACAAATACAATCGAAGTATTGTAACGATGAATAGTACATGACTGTCTAATCCGATTGGCTATAAGTTTGAAAGAAAAAGTTGGCGGAGTCGAGACGTAATTGGACGAAAATGTTATACTGAAAACTGCCTATAGGGAAGTTGATCTCGTGACGCATAACTTTACACGTCGAGTATCCAGGCTATATTTTCACGATGCTAATAAATATGCATATGTGTCAATACTGTAAACAGTGTTTACAGAGGACGTTGATCCCGTTACGCATACCTGTATACCACAAGAGTGCTGCAGGTTTTATTTTCCCGACGCTAACAAATGTGCATATTATGCTTATTAAGCTTGGTATGTTTTTAAACCCCCCCCCCCAGCTGTCAGTCTCCGAAAACTTTTCTTATTTGATAAGTAAATGCGTAAATACTAGTAGTTGTAGCATCATTTGACTAATTCAACGCGGGGGGTTGCGCGACCCCATTTGACACAACACCCCATTTTTAATCCGACATTGCCGCCACCTGTTGCCATGGATGGTATACCGTGGGGTTAAACGTTGGTGAGTCACCGGTACAAGTCATTGCAAAGTATACTGGGGTTGTCGGAGTTCTTTGCACCGATTACTTATCAGCCAAAACAGCCAATCAGCGTAAAGTGAGTTCACGCGAGAGTATCACAACCACACAGAGTCTGTTGACATATTGCAATGTAACCTTACATTTGGTGCCAAGCGACGTAGTCTGACAAGAACATATTCACATCGGTAGAATATTTCGGTTGCAGTGCATATGGCATTGACAGACATGGATATGCTGATGGAAACATATGTAATAATATTAAATGCATATCATATCAGAATGTCATTCAACGCAGTTACCAACGAAACTGACGTGTGATTGTTTTCTCCATCGCTGCTTAGTGACTGATAAAAACCATACAACCCGCGTTATATTTATTATTATGCGATAAAAGTCGAGTACTTCCCGAATGCCAATATGAGTAGTGATACTAGCATTTGTTGACTTGCCAGGGCTCGCCGCGCGGTGGGTGGGTGTGGTCACAAAATTCGCTTCATAAAAATAGAATTGAATATTAAATATGTACCATTTTTTGTCTTCGTCCATGTTTGTCGAAACATGTTTGTTTGTCTGTGGTATGTTGATTTAGTAAAAATGGCTGCAATGTGAACTGTGTGTGTTTGATACCGTACTTGTGTACCGACTATCCCAGGAGACATACCTTCCCGATGCCGTGTTTTGCGGCCCTGAGTGTAAAACGTGTGGAATTGTTTTTGGTTTGTCTGTTTGATCACAAATTATACAGTGAAAGTACTGGTTTGAGAATCTAGTGTGTCCGGGTGTAGCGTTTTTAACTTGAATATCTGTTATTACTCTGCTTTCCACCATCCAAGCAAACGACGGAGACGCCACTCTGCCCAAAATACCCGTTCTCCTTGGTGCCGCAAAATCACAGACTACGACGTGTCTAAATGAATGTATCTTCTTACAAGGGGGCACAACCATGATCGTTACGTTACAACACACCCTTTGTGGAGGGTGTACGTTCGTATTGTTAATTTAATACCTGCTACTCACACGTCACATTTACAATGAACATACAGGTCAACAGATGACACCACGCTATTCGCTATACTCATTTTGTGTATGACGTTTACACTGTGAGTGTATCGATACTGCAGTATGGTATACTCACCTGAATGAATCTAACGGTAGCCGCGCCTATTTTTTTTTCAGGAGATGCTTCTTCTTGCCCAGGTGCTCGGTCAATGCAACAGGTGGGCCTGCTTTAAAAGTTCTTGTATTTGTACACTTGCTAAGAACAAGGTGGGAGTTTGGTGACGAGTGCAAAAAACACACCACAGGAACCAACCCCTGGACGTGAAGGTAGCGTCCTCCATGACAAGTTAGTGTAAAATGGTGTGGTGTGCAAAATGCTAATCATGGCGTAGAGTTGCGGCATGTGAAGGAGAGGCCAATGCCGCGAATGCCAGTGTGATACACACGTACTGGTACCCACTGCAGATTTGAAGAGTTGTTCCATAATTCTCAATTTCTCCTCAAAATACATTTTCATTGGGCACCATACACTACCAAAAATAAGAACTGTCAACAACATTATTCCTAACGACATTGTCAAAAAAGGAGAACTAGTCCAATAAATGAAATAATTCGAAGTGTAAAACTATTATTAATACGTGTATATGTCAAAATACGAAGTCAGAGATTATCACATAACATACAGAACAAATATCAAGTTTCTAAAATTATTCTAATATTTTCCAGCACAGTATTCAGTGAAAAAAAATTGCTTGAAATTAGAATAGCCTCACCCATAAATATCAGCAAATGTAATTTACATAGACCCAATTGTCCAGTGTTGCGCCTCATACACACACGCACGTATGACGCGTATAACTTCCATGACGCATTGAAATGTGAAACGAGCAAATTTAGGTCAGTTAGTTGTTGAGTTGTGTCAACCATGTACGGTTTACTTGATATTGACAGGTTTAGGATGTGACCACTTGACCCAGATCTAGATCTAACCCATCCTCCAACTCGTTTGGAGGGGGCGATTCGCTTATCCGAAGGTCAATACATGACACCACGTTTTTTTTTTTTTTTATTTACCAACTCCGACAAATGTATACACTTTTATGAAAGACAATACATAATTACAGATCAAAAGTTAAAAGTTGTAAATAACGAGAGAATCACTGATACTGATAAATAATCAATAATATTACTCATGATAAAAAATCGTAAACAGAAAAATGTGTGTTTAGGCATAACACATATTCCTATATTACTAACCACTTTCTAGGCAATCCATATGAAATGAACGAATTCGTCGATGAGTTTTATTGTTTCAGTTACTAGTATTATCTGCGACGCGGCTTTTCATCGTTCAAACGTTCCTGCCGGCCAACAAAGGTATTCAGACATGCGCATACATGATCACACATTCGTGTCAATAACGTTGGGTTTGCTTGGCAATAATATAACATACCACTGTTATCAGTTGTAGACTCATTAATGTTGACGTGACAAGGGTGGTTACAATCATCGATAGCATAGCCTCAAGGTAGCGACTGTATAGATTTGGAGGTCAGATGCCAGTCGATGAGTTAATAGGTAACAAAAACGGACCTCGCCTTTACATATCACAATAATATACTACCACATCAAAAATACCTGGTTGGTAAAGTTGAGCGGGTCCAACTAAAGTTTTGGATCATCACAGTATCATGAATTAAGCCTTCGTTATAATTTATCGTCACTTGAGAATCGTAGAAATTTCCTTGACTCCGTCTTTTTGTATAAATGCCTTAATAATATTTTTGATTCTCCCTACACTATTTACAACATTCCTTTTCATGCTCTCTCCAGAAATCTCCGCTCCGTATATCCCTTCAAACTACCTCTTTGTCACAGTAATCTCAGAAAATATTGTTTTATCCCTCGTTGTCTTGACTTTTCAAATTGTATTTATATTGCTGGTTCAGTAGACATTTTTACGAGTCTATCTTCTTTTAAGACGTCTGTTTTAAATGCTATAAGTTGAGCTTTGGGTTTTTATTTTTATTAATAAATAAATAAATAAATAATATATATACATAAATTTATTTACTACACATTTCGCAATATGTGGCTATCGCAATCACAATATTCCGTTATTTCGGTCTTTTTTGTCCTAATTCCATTAGCATTGAGGTTGGCACATACACTAAAATTTTCATATTTATTAAAATACCAGTGGAAAAAAATGTTGAGGGGCGTCGTTGAGAACCCTTTGTGTTAGCAAAATTTGCCCTTCGAAATGCAGCCGGAAATAGCGTTTCATAGAGTCTAGGGAAACATGCCCCAGGACCCCCTAGTAAGGTCGCGACTTCGGCGCAAGGTTGATGAGCAGATCTCGCCTTTCATGCAAAATTTTGTGCCGCCGCCTCTGAATACAATTCATATGCCATCACGTTACTTTTTGAAATATGGAGTATTAAATATACATGACATTTGTAATGTTATCATTTTATCAAAACAAAACAAAAACATGTCTTGCAATTACAATAATGACCTCTCACACAAATATATGAGTTACTATGTATCATGTTTTATGTAGGATCAAAAAAGAAAGAAAAAAACGATGAAAACCCTTCATTAGAAAATGAAGAACCTGAATATGTGTTCCCGGTGATTCTTTTTTTCGTTTTCCGTTTTTCTGAATGAAATTTTCTAAGCTGCCTACCCCCTACACAAATGGTTTAGCCTAGCGAATCGTTCAGTGCAATTAGTGACATCCTTGTAAAAAAAAAAAAAAAACATTTTACGCAATCTGTAAAGTCCGAAGAACTAAACAAAGTAGTGGATTACTTAAAATAGCATTCAGAGAAGACGGATACCAAAAAAAAAAACATATCTCAAAAGTGAATTGTATTATTAACGCGACAGGAGTCGTCGAGTAAATGAATAACAAGCACTCAGAGCGTTTGCATTAATTCTGGAATTATATTATTAGCAATATATTACCAATCGTAACCAAATATGTACACAACGGATCATGTTTTAAACTTTGCATTGTATTGTTTATAAGGTCTAATGAAACGATAAACGAACTATTTCTGCACACAGGTGCGGGTATATGTATATATATGTATATGAAAACAGAACCAAACTATTATCGAACACTAGTACAACATTGTGTTGTTTTTAATGTCTCGCATATGTCTAATTATAAACAATATATTATATTGCGCTATTTTGAAAGTGATTATCCAATATATATTGCTGTTTTGACAATATACTAGTAGGTATCTTTTCAGAGCAGAAGAATCGCTATGATTGGAAACCTTTTCCCGAACGCAGTTGATGTTATAATTCCTATACCTGCTGTAATTTAGTAACTGGGCTACTAACGTACAAACTACTTTTGTATTCAGTAGCATTGACATCTCACCCACATACACAGCAGAATTATACGACATTATTTTATCTGAGGCAAACAGCTCGAGCGTGTACAGGCAAGCAAAAAATAAACGCGTTCAGCTCGATCCGATTCGATCCGAGTTCGACGGACTCCAATATCGGGGTCGAACTCCGATAAGACTGAACCCGACATGGCCCGATAAACGATAACCCTGAGGCAAAATCACTATTCCAGCTCGGCTCTGGAATTGAACGGGATGAACTTCGGTCTGCATTTAGTCATAACCATATAAACGCACAATAGGTAAATATATATTTGACGTCATGATAAACATGGTATGCACCATACCTTTTACATCTACTTGTCACAGACACTCCTAAAAACGATCTGCCAACTATGTACAACTTGTGAGAATAGATTATCTACACCCACTCACCGTCCATAACAGCGTCCAGGCTTCTTCGTAACAAAAAGACTGTGTCATATTCTCCGCCGTACCTTACGTATTAACATTGTCATTATATTATTTTCTTAACTGGTATTAACCACGGCTTCCCACTTGTAAGTCCATAGACGCAACATTTCACCAAGTTAATATTATTCACCATGCAATTTCAATATTTAGATATGATATGATAATATATCTAATATTTTACTTTTCAATAATGGGCGAAATTGTATTGGTTAACCCCCGATGTTGATAATTTAACTGAATAAAGCAGTAAATGAATTAACCTTTTCACCGCCAGGCTCTTTTCATCACAAATTCACAAAATACTCTGCACTTTCCTTCAGATGATTCGAACAAAAATAGCCAAAGTTTTTGGAAATAATAAATAATATAAGAAAAAAGTGCGGAAAATTTTGGTTGAGAAAGTCTGATGGCGAAAAAGGTTAATTCTGTTGCTGCGCATATAACTCACCATTGCATTGTGTTGTGATTTTATATTACTAGTACTTTATAGAAGTTTCATAATTGTAATTCGTGTAACATTACCATTTGTAACATTGCCAAAACCAGCACGCATGTACCTTTTCTCATCCGTGGAATCACGATTCATCTTTAGTAACCAAGGACCCCTTAACTCAGTACGCGTTTATACCAAGTCACAGACAATCTAAGACGGATACACAACGCCCAATTTGGTCTACACTTTAACTCGTTCTCGGTTTCTAAATATACACATACTAGCCAGGCTACCTGTAGTCTTCCGCCAGGCACCCCACTATATTCCGGGCATTCTAGTAAGATGTCGCCTTCACGGACCGTGATTGGCTGATAAAATAATTTGAATATATGCTAATTTTCTGAACAATTCATGATCGAAACACGTTCCCACCACCGTGCCACATCAAGGAATTTGCGGTCTCCATATTCTTCACGACGCTGCAAAAAAATTCCAAGTTACAACGGAAACCATTGGAACGTCTATGTTTATACATTTACCATGGCATTTTTCTAGCTTCGTGATAAACCACGGTGATATTCAACACACCAAAATATAATAATAACACAGATTCCCCGTTACAAATACAATATTTATTGCTTAGCCTATCCCAATAAACAAAAATATACAATGTGCTCAACTTGTGCCGAAAACAAGAAATGCCAGCAAATAAAAAAAATCAAGGTGTTCATGCAGGCCAAAGGTGACATCGTTTGAATTTTTTTAAGGAAATAGCTTTTATCGAATCATGCAATCTATATATATATTTATTATATACTTATTTATTCTTATTTTATATATAGCCTATAGAGTCATATTGTGACAGACCCATCGCCAAGAATCCACCTTCTAACCTCGACTACCCAGGCCTACTCATTATAGGTCTTCCCGACCGACGGTCGCCGAGGGCGCACTCACGTCGTCAGAGGTATAGTCAGACGGTGACACTCTTGGCGCCAGGGGATCACATGTACTAAGACTCGCTCATTAAAATATAAACTGTTGTAAATTTGTTTTCCTATAAATAATTTGTATAATCTAATTAACCGTGAGTTTAATTGAAAGGCGCCGACACAGAAACACTTTTATTGATAATAGTACATAAGACAGTCCGGTAAGCTCATAATACGTATTCGTGCAGCAGCGTCTGTGCAGCAAATGCACATTATTTCCAAGGCTGACAAACTGTTGACTTTAAAATCAAACTCATAATATCGTAAAAATGTCATTATTAGTATTTCGTAAATATTGAAATGAGGATATATTATCTCTCAAGTGCTCAACAGTCAATAAAAAGGCCCAATACAATGTCTTGCAGTCGCCTTCGAAAACGACATTGACTGTACCTAATGGTTACCACGCACAAGACTGGGCTAAAAATGAGCAAATATGCCACACGGTTACATATATTATATTTTTATGAATGTTTTTCAACTTACGATATCATAATAATGCGTAAAGTCCTTTACTCCGGAGAATTTTGGAGAAAAAAACATGTCTAGGAGACTGTTGTTTTAAAAATTGTTTTAAAAATATCTTGACATCGTTACCTTATATCTCCATAACTTAGAAGTTTCACGAGTTTGGCACAAAGTAGTAAGTACGAATTACTACAGTTAGAAAATTGAGAGAGCAACTCGATAACTGTTACTCCCCTGACCTCAATCTCCTTTCAAGGTAAATATAGACTAACCAGAAGAACCATCCAAAATGTTCAAGTACTTTGGAAAATAGCAGGAAGTGAAACAGTTACGTTAATTCATACACAAAAAAACACTTGATAAAGTGGAAAAAAAAGTGATAAGATAAAACTCGTTATGGGCTGTGAGATGAGTTTCATATTTGATTGCGTAAAAAAATGCCAATATAGTTATGAGGCAGTGTTCTTGTCACTGAGAACTTTAAAATATCGATTTAATATCTAAACACAATTGTGTTTACAATGACAATTTGCATTAATTTTGTTCCCTTTCCATTTCGGCAAGTTTGCATGATAACTACATTGGATCGCGATGATGTGCTATAAAAAGTATGATCACTATGGATTTATTGAACCAGATTGAATCTGATTATTGCTACTAATAATTACCTACTAACAATATTAACCTAGCAACTTGAACCCTCTGTGGACACTGAACCCTTAACCATGTGCACGATTCGCCTGACGAGGGCGCATGTGTCAACGTAATCCCAGGCTACCCAGGCTTAACTAATATACATATCTACGAGCTATGGACTGGAATTGGGTTGTAAATTTCGAGTCGGTGTCATTGTCGATTTAACCACATTTGGTGCAGACAGGCTTGCCACTTTCGTTGTAAAATTTTTCACCGGACAGCTTTTCTCTGCATTTCTGTGGAATAAAATGGAAATGAAAAATAGACACGCATGAGTTCATATTGGTTAATGAATGAATATTGTTAGTATACTTCGGTGTATGGGCGTGATCATAATGTAAAAGCTAAAGAATTGTATAACGTATTATTACGTGAATAGAATTAGAGTTAAACAGAAACTTGTTTTATTGTTGAAAGATTCAAAATGCGTACTGTTGAATGCATGCTGTTCCCATGGTAACGCATCATGCAGATTACCGGAAATCTGGCGGAGGTGGGTTAGATGGATGTTTGCTGCAGTATGGTTTCCCATAAACTATGAAAAAGTTGTTTCCATGGAATGGTTGCCTGCACTCCTGCATATGGAGACGTCGAGAGCATAAAATTAATGGGCTTTGCTGAAGAATGTGGGTGTGTTAATCAACTACGAGAACTGAGGTATACTAAAAGCATGATATGACGCCCCGCGCAACATTAGCAACGCAGGTTGGCCATGCATGGAACACATGTCAATGGTAGAGGGCGATATAACAAGTCAACCATCATTATGTTACCTGGCACACGAAGCAGTCTGGATGCCAGTTCTGGTTCATGGCTTCGACCCATTTAGATCCAAGCTTCTGGTCACATCCATAGCAGATGTCCGAGGAGACTACCTTCACGTCTTTACCACCACAGAACAGCACTTGGTAATCTGCATATTCGTGAACAAATAAATGTATTTGAGAAGCAAAATAATAAATGGCGTGAAAGATGTATGTCATCTAAACTTCATTAAATACACTCGTAATCCTGGCAACGGACCGGGTGCTACTTATCGCAATTTAACAATTCATTTTAGTATTTACATACATACATATATATATGAACGCACACATGTTTTTTCTGTTGCACTGAAACACTGCCACAAAAACACAAAAATAGTTATTTATTTATCAAATATGATTGCATTATTTATTTACTCGTAGTCATTTATTTAAACTTCATTTAATGATTGTGACCCAATTGGCAAAACTCCAATTTCTCCTGGGCCCTGGAATGCAGTCGTTAGGAGTGTTTTGTCATATAAAGTCACATGGCACTTATATCATAATATTCACTTGGTAACGCGGCAGTATTCACATACACGTATTAAACGAACACAAGCGGTCACGGTGTTTTCTGTTATTTGTTCTTATTTTAAATCCATGTAACATCGAACCAAAACTATTTATGTGGTACCAAATGAGTAAACGCATGGAGCTATGTTTTGTAACATGGCGTGTTGTTATGGTAACTGCATTCAAATAGGTGCATGGAAAGAGATGTTTTGTCATTATTCATTTTCTAGCTATCTGGGTGTTGTTTGTACGTGTGCATATGTGTGTTCACCAAACCATGATCCAAACGTTTTTTTTGCTCAGTGATGATATGAATTAAAATAGAAAACAAAATGCAAAAACACATGTCTCGTTATTTAGTTAGAACACATAAATTAAATAATAAATCAAGTGATATTTGTCAACTATTCGCTTAAGAGATGATTTAGCAAATGTCAGTGAGTGACTCTAAAGACCATCTTGAGCAAACACTTGGACCCATTGTAAATGAAAAATGTTACCACCTGCATACGGCCGAGGTTCAATGCTGTGAACTATTTAGTAATTTATCGGCTGTCTGTCAATAACTATTTTGAACTATGACCCACCTTTCTTACAGTATGGTTTATCGTCTTTCACCATAAAGCCATCTCCGCCGAATGGTTTACGGCAATGGTTGCATACAAAGCAATGCGGGTGCCACTTCTTGTCCAATGCGGTCACAATCTCCTGCGTGAAGAAAAAAAAAATGAGCAGACGATAAGCCGTGTACAGTATCAGAATCACGCGGCGCGCAAAATAATATAGTTTTTCTAGATGACTGATACGGGTAATGATCGCTGCTTGAGAAGATGATCGTGCCAATCATAGAGAATAACAGAAATAACTGGGTAATTATTGCATGCCTTCACATCCCTCTCACCATTACTGTAAAACTAAACGAAAGATCACCCACACGTGATCCAAATTAAACTTCGGAGTGATTCATTATGTCTGACTGGAATGGGCTAGGTTAGAATGTTGTTGAAACTGTGTGTCTGGACATACCATTTTTTTCCTCCTAGATTGGGTTGCATTTCCGCCCCCCCCCCCTTCATCAAAGCCGCACAAAACGCGTTCTCCGATGTTTCGTATCTTCATTTTCCTCCCCAGCAGAAATAATGGTATATTCCATATCAAGGTTTGATTATTAAACTAGAGCGGTCTAAATACATTTCTGGCCACTGAATAATCCTACTAAGAGGGGTGTAATTTATTGTTCCTATATACTCTTATACCGTATATGAAAATATTCGGTTAATGTTGTGATATTAACAACAAACTAATATCGTCCCCGTCAAAACAACTCACCCCGGTGACAGACTCATAGCACTTGGCACAGCGGGCGGCTTCAAATATCTTGTAATCGGTCTCGCAGACGACACGACCATCTTTGGTGGTAAAGAAACTTTTTCCTCGCAATTGACAACGGCACTCGGCACATCTAAAGCACTCGGCATGCCACTCTTTGTCCAAGGCGGTCACAATAGTGCCACTGTTTTAACCATAAAAAAACATAATAAAAGGAAAGGTTAAGAAACGAGGTGGGCGATACAAAACAAAATTGAAATGCGAAACATATATTGAAAATTATTGAAATAAATTGAAAAGTAACACCTCATTAAAGGTGATCTTCGACCCGGTCGCGGCAGATTTACTCCGCCAAAATGGTATGTCAATTTTGAACCCAAAAGACAGAATTTAGAATGTAAATCAACATCCTTCATGAAATTAAGCAGATCGAACTTGACTATGATCGTGGAAGGCGACATCAGTTTTTAGTGGCAATTGAAAGGGTAATATCATGACGTCATGGTCCAAACACCATGATAACCGTGTTGACAAGCATCATACAATGAGACCGATTGCTGTGTTTACGTACGTGATGGTTTTCTTGCATTTTTCACACACAGGCATGATTGACACTCTTCAAAATTCCTGCAAAATAAATAAAAATAAAATATTGATTATTACGTAAGAATATATAAACATGTAACTTAACGCAATACAGACTTTCCTTCATCATAACTCGAAGGTCATGGTTATGTTGCAATGGATGAATTTGGTACCACTGGAATGGATTTTCAATTTATGTACACGCCAATCTCCTGAAACTAAACTATTGTTTTTGTTGTTTTTTGTTGTTGTTGTAATTGTAATTTCTCTATCGTTAGATTATTATCACCACCTCTCAAATCAATACGGGTAGCAGAAGTATTTGTCGTATCATGGTTCGTACTACCATATTAAAGCGGGGCAGTCGTCATCTGCGCATGCGTCAGATGGCCATAGCGTGTCAATGTTTACAAACAGGCGTCTACCCATGAGCCTTTGCGTTTTTAGCGTGTGTTGTTATCGTCGCTTGGGACTCAATTCCCGCGCGTGCGCAGGTGACGACCCTCCCGCTTTAATGTACAGCTGAAGAACAAAATAAAACGCACTGAATTCGTAATGCCGTAGGTATTAATTGACATTCCAGCGACGGTGATCGTATCGCAACTACATTGTATAGGGAAACTCAATACATAGCCATTAAACATACAAACTATGGTGAGTTCACGCATCCACAAAAAAAGTACTGCACCTAAAACACCACTGAAGTTTACATAATGGTTGAGTGGAACTTATGGTGAGGTCACATGGTTTGGCAAATGTCCATTTTATTCATGATTCAGTACACTTTGAAAGAAATTTCACAGATGTCTGCCTCCTCGTTGTTTTCCGCAAAAGCTTACTCTTATATATAGTACTCAAAGTAGTTTTAAAATAACAAACGCTGCAATGTTTTAGTAGAGTCCCGACGTGAGTGTCTACTTTTAAATCATATTGACGAGGTTCTACTGGGAGAAAATTTCACAGACCGACGATTTCATAGAGCGCTTTGCCTCAGCCTCTGCACCCAACTGGTACACGCCATTACATCAACAGTCAACGTACGTTTTCATTGAACGAATGTCCATGAATTTGCACACATCGAATGCAATTTCGACAAAACATATGATAAATTACGCCCGGCAAATCGTCTAGATATGTACCAAGTTTCGGAAACTCAATCCAACCATACCCAAGATCCGGTTCCGAAACCGTAAAAATGGCAATCAGTCTGTCATTTTGAATTCGACCGCAAAATGAATAAGCGTGCTTGTGTTTGACATGTGTTCAATCAACACATGTGTGATACAGACAGGCGCAAGCACGGAAGGGTGCATCGTCCGCCTGCACGGTGTTGTTCCGTTCGGACATTCCTCTCTCTACAACACCGTGCGGTAATACCATTCATAATCGTGTATGTCACGTGGTTGCGCGATAGAAAGTTTACCGACCAATAGAAAGCTTTGTTACAAAGACTGCCAGAAAACGCTCGGAGCTCTGCATTTCTGATATTTTCGGCTTCATTACTGCCAATATGTGTTGCAGTGATATCATGAGCTTTGGGGTATAACACCTACTCTTCTATAACAGTCAACAGTGGTG